TTTTTACTCACTAGGGGCCAACCAGTAAGTAGTCACTGTCTCTCTCTACAAATCTCTTTCAAAACTCACTTGCTCTTTGTGCCAGGCAATGAGACAATGCCAAGAGTTGATCAGACCCTAGACAATACTCACAACCCAGCAGGATTGATAGGGATTGATTTATACAGTCAAAAATATGTAAGGATATATAGAATAGCCTTACATAAGGAAGATTCTCTTCTTTACCAGTGCACTCAATACACTGACTAGGGTAATCAGTAATCAAGCGTCAAGAAGGGGAAAAGAATCCTCTAACCCTTAGCCTGAAGACTCTTTATATGCAGTTACACATGTAGTGGATACAAGTAGGCTAACTAATAATGAAAAAAGCACCTACAAGCACTCACAACACCTTCATAGCAAGGAGCACACTTGTACACACTCAGCACAAGAGTGCAATCGTTACAAGTAGCAAGCAATATTACTGCTTTGTATGTAGAGTTGCATGGTGGATCACTGTTAGTAGACAGAGTTGTGTATGCTTCCTCAAGTCTGTCTAATGTATGTCTGAAATGTTTTACATGGTCTCTACAAATAAACAGTGCCAATTCGTTGATGGCCTTTTTACATACTGTCTGAGGGTTAAAGCATTCTTCAAGCACTTTCATTAACTGAGGGATAGATGTATCAAAGTGCATATAGTTTGCCAATATTGTGTTGGCAATGTTATTAACTATGCATGTATGAATGGCCTTAGCCATCTCCCTCTCAGCTTTGTTCTGTGGTTCATCCTTTAGTAAGTGTTTGAAGCATGTAGCTGTGACACTAGAAACAATACAGTAGTGCCACATCTTGTAGTTTGCTTTGGTCTTAAGCATTATAATGTTTTGACCAAAGTATTTAGGTACATCAGCTGGTTTACAGTGTGTATCTGTATGTGGGGGAACCATGATGCAAATGTGTGCAAATGTATGTGAATAAAGAGTTTAGAGTGTACAGTGGATGCATGTATGCAGGGAGCTCAAGGCTCATAACCTGTTGAGAGGGAGAACTTAAGGGGGGCATGTATAGACAAGGGGTGAGGTGACAATTGACTGCTCAGTGTCTCTTGTCCTTATATTGTATGTATTCTAACTGAGACATTATGAAGTCATTGTCTTGTGGTTTGTCCATTGATGAACTAATCATCTCATAATATATATGTACTTCAATATGTCTATCTCTCAGTTAATGAAAGCACTTGAAGAATGCTTTAACCCTTAGACAGTACATAAAAAGGCTATCAACAAATCAGTACTGTTTATTTGTAGAGACCATGTAAAACATTTTGGACATACATTAGACAGACTTGAGGAAGCATATGCAACTCTGTCTGC